TTGCTGGGTAAGAAACATACCTGTGCCGAGCTACCGGTGCTCTAAGCAAGTAGTCTCTTCGGGAGAATACGTAAGACTAAAAACCATAGTTGAGGTTTAAATTTAAATTTGATAGCTTTTGTAGTTTGGCGACAAACCATAATTTAGTCGTCAAATCTTACTGCCGTAACTTTTTTCCGCATCCGAAAATAATCAGTTTTTCATCCACTTACAATTTATCACAAAAAGTATATTATATGAAAAGTGTATTAAACAAGCTTTTATTTTGAATGTCATAAATTATAATGCGCATACATTGTAATCCGAGCCACATTAACAATGACAAAACGTGAATATTATAACAATAGTCGGTATTGAGATTATTGGTAAAATGTACAAAGTTGTGTCACTCATAGTGTGGTCCGGATTGGTTCCAGTGTGCATATTGTAGGTTATAATTGTATCCAGTACTTCATAATATTAAAACAAAGTTAAATATAAAATTTATTTTGTATCACCCATATAAAGGTTTCAAGTATTTATATGTAAAACTTTGATATAATCAAGATAGACAATAATATATCAGAAATGTGTAGGTTTATCATTGAATGCCAAGGTAGTACCAATATAAAAAACCTGTGTATAAAAGCAATTCAAAACTATAAATACTTTTTGTATTTAATATTTTTAGTATTTGTTACTTTAAATAGTCAAATCTGTTTAGTCACTAGAAATTACTAAAATGACCACGTCTAAATTGTTTATATTATTTAGTGTATTCATGTTGGGACTCTCAATTGTCCCGGCTAGTACAGAACCAGAATGTTTTTGGACAGGGTGACTTGAGTTTAACCGTGCTACATGTCCCTCCGATTACCGTATGATAACCAAGGAGCATTGCGGCGATTGGAAGCAAAGGTTACTTAATTTTCAGAGAAAATATTGCTGCAAAAAATGTTAGTAGCTAAATTAACAGCTATTTATAATTAAACCAGCATATTATTTTTATAGCAACTGACACTGGCAAAAATGAATTGTATGACCGCGATGGTGATGAATCAATAAATGACCTAATTACAATTAATGATATATTGGAGCATATGATCAAGAACAACCTTGTTAAAAGTAAGTAATGCTTATTTTATGATTATAAAATATTTATAAAAACTTATATTCATCTCGTAGTACTTGAGCCAATGATCATAAATAACATGGTGGAGCAATTAAACAAACGACTTGAGCAGGCTATTTTGAATAAACATGGGTGCAAGGCTAAAAAGTTTTATAATAATTATGATTAATGTAAATTCTATATAATATTTTTAAATATTAATTTTATAATAAAAATATAAATTAAAATTTTTGTAATTTGAGTAAAGTTACAAGTGCATTATTTTAAATATTTTAGTATTTTATATCAGTATTTGTTGTATAGTATTATTATATTAACAATAAGTTTTAAAATTTAATTTTTTTTATCATAATTATAATTATTTACATAAATCTTTTTAATAAAATATAATTTAGTTAATTATATATTTAATTTAAATTTTCAATATTTACTTTGATAATTAAACTTTTAAATATTAACATTAGTACCAACCAAGGTCAGTATAAATTTTGCCCTGGTAGGATACGTTATTTCTATCGATATCCACTATATCCAGTCTGAACTGATTTTCATGAATACCAAGCTCCTTTTTAACATGTTTGGCAAACTCAGCTACGGTAACACGATTTTCATCCGGGCTAACTCTACCAGCACTTTTCAATATGCCATATGCGAAATACTCTTTACCATCTGGGTCACACCCTAAAATACAAAATTAATATTATTATCTAGTTAATTTACTTTCAATATAAGTACTATTTTTTGTTTAGTATAATTAAAAATACCCGAAAATATAAGTTGATCAGGCACAACATGCACAGCCATTCTGTTAAATGGCTTACCCTTGAGCACCTGGGTCATCAAAGTTGCCGTTTTTGTGAAAAAGTCTTTAGGTATGGCCGAACGGGGCAGGGATGTAAACAGTTGTATGTGAGGCATAATTGGACCTTGGTTAAAATTATTTTATATTTAAAGAATATTAAACGTTAAATAAAATAATATTAAAAATTGTTATAAAACTATTTGTTGGATTATGCGTTTATATACTTTATTTTGATATGTTATACATTGACCTTGATAATGATTAAGCATGTAAAGCATAGTATTTAATAAATTATTTTATTTATACCGAGGACAATTTCAGGACAAATTATCGCATTGATTAGATGTTAGGGACAAAATAGATAACAAATACTGTACAATAGTTAATATAGTATTTAATATTGCATAATAAAAATCTAAAATGACTTAGATAACAAAAACCTTTATAATATATAAATCTAGCATAACTGGGAATTTCATTTTCTGATAATCAAAAATGATAATCTGATCCCTTTTCCATACCTAACCTAAATTAATTTGATAAATTGGCTAATCCAATCACAAACTCAATACATATAATATAATACTAAAATTTTAATTCAAACTACAGTAATTAATTTTCTTAATTAATTTATAAAAATGTTTGTTTTTTAATAAAACTTTTAAACCGGGTATTACTTTGAGGAGCATTAGATAACATTTTAAACACTATAAGCCATTATATTAAATAACCTAAACCATATCATATCAGATATACAATGTACAACCATTTATAATGTACCTATTTATTTATTAAATACAACAATCATAATTAAATATAAAATTACATATAAATAACCTAGTTTTCAAAAATAATTTATACTATAGTATACTACGATCATTTATAAATAAATTATTTTATGTTTAATTTAAAATTATTTGTTATGAACAATGGTGTTAACTATAATTATAGATAACTATTAAAAAATAAATGTGAAGGTTACTTTCATAGAAACAGTTTGATAGCAATTAGTGCTAAAATAGTTCATTGATTAAAAATATTTAAAGTATAATTTACTGTAATAATTATTTTAAAAGTTTTAATTATTATATACAATAATCATGCCGTTTATGCAATTTTATACGACACTACCGGCCCACCGGGTACCACAGGATTTTCAACGTAAAACAGTTGAGGTGTTGAGCCGTGTGTTGGCTAACAAACCCCTCGAGCGGATTACCGTGCATTTGCTCACCGATCAAAATATCTACACTGGTCAGTTTTATTTAATAATTTATTATTTATGTTTAGAAATATTTTCTAGAAAATTATATATAATACAGGCATATAAGTCAATTAATTAATTTAGTTAGATAATTGTAATTGAAATATAACTAAACAATATACTTTATTAAAGTTACAAACAAGCAATTAGCAAAATTATATTAATGATTATATCTCTAGAAATAAAACTATGCTAGATAAATTTAATAATTTTCATTTTAAAGTCATTATATTGACAAACTATTAGAATGATAACTATTTAAAATGTATGATTAAAAATAATTTATTTTATATTAATTAGGAAGTGACCCTGATCGTAAAGTGGGTAATGCCTACGCAGTGCTACGGAGTATAGGGTGTGTCAGTGCGGACGAGAACCGGCGTACTATAGATGCAATGGCCCGACACGTGCACCAGGAGCTCGGTATAGATCAGACCCAGTTCCGACTGTTTTTCATTGACCTGGATCCTAACCTTGCTGCCTTTAATGGCAAGATTGCTACTGACCATGGTCTATAATTTCATTTTAGTTTAAAAGTCACAGTTAATATTTTAAATGTGTAATAGCAACTTTGCTAGATTAATATTTTATATAATATTCTACTGTGAACAATTAATTTTTAAAATATAACATTTTATAATTAATATTAGTCATATAATGTTATTAATAAAATATAAATTAATTTGAGAACATTTAATAATATTTTTACCATAATGAATAATAAAATAGCATTTCTAATGAATTATTAGTAATAATTATTTCAGGTACACGTTATAAGCATTATATTCATTTTATATTATTTGCTAATAATTATCAATTAAAGGCAAATTATAATAACTACTTCTAATAATCTAAACTAATGAGAGTGCAATGTAATTTATATTTATATAATTAGTGTACATGTGTTCTTAATAATTGCATATTATTACTTGTACTTGTTATTATATTGTGACTTACTTAATTATAATTTAAATAAATAATATTCTAACAAGTAAGAATAACTATTGTTCATAAGTACTAATTAAGGTATTAGTGTACTTAGTGTATTAAATTTAATTATTTGCTTACATGCAATTTTTGTATTTATATAAAACAGTAAATTGTCTGTATTAATGCAAATACAAAGTTACACAAATACAGTGCACATAACTTATTATATATTTATTTATAATTACTATTAATATATTATTAATATTATGTCCACAATTAAGCAAATATTTTGAACATTTGCATCATACTAACAATTTATTAAGCTAAAATAATTTTGAGCTTAGATAACCTCGAATTAAATTACTTTTTAATTTTATATAAATTATTTTCAATATAACAGCATAAATAAAATGTGTCTACTTAAATATAATTTTAAACCTACCCAATTAATCCCACCGGAATTAACCATACCGGGTGCACACAGTCACCTCTACGGTATAGGACTGTCATTATTTAAACCCCAGTGTTATGTAAAACGACGTTGGTACAATCACCCAGTTATTTCATTTATATATTTGCTTCATATGCTAATACGGTGTTTAATATTTATCATTCATCCAGCTTATGCTAAATCAACACATTATCACTTATATTGGGGTAACATTGATCATTTCATGGGCACAGGTGTCCTAGTGAACACAGTGTGTGGTACAGCGTGTGTATTATGCATAGTGACCCAGGTGCTTAATTTTAACAACTACTGGAAAGGTAGAGAGCCTACAGATTTACGAGTTTTTGAAATGGTGGCCGGTTTACGACCACCCTGTAGTATTGGTATATACGACAAGAATTTAGTATTGAAATTGTGCTCAATTACTGGGAAAACCTTACGCCTTTCCCAATATGCCATCCCACTGTTCATGGTACTTTCATTTTGTATTGTATTTTTTAGTTACTCAACAAAAGTATCCGGTAATGATTTAGTTATTTATGGTACACCCAATGCTATGGTCTGGGCAATTTGGGTGATGTACCTAATGAATATATTATCATACCAGACATTATATTACTACATAATTACATATTATTTAAAAAGCAAGTTAAAACTTCAAAATATTAAAATTATAAATATTTTAAAGAATAATAAGAATATTCTGGAAACGCATAAAATTCTTAAAGAATTTAATACTATTTATGCTGAAATTAGTGAATATAATAAAAATTATTATTCAAATTATCTGGGTACTATTTGGGTCTCATTGAGCCTTATCGTAACATTTAATTCATATTTGTTTGCGTTCAGTAAAACACAATTAATGGTCAGGATTATGTTACTTGGATTTGCCTTAGAATTTGCCTCGCTACTAGTATTTATTATTCATATATCAAGGTCTATTTATGTTGAAGCTAATAAGTCGGATGTTTTATTAAACTCGTTGACACATTTGAAGTTTAGAAATATCGGTACAGTTGTTAAGATAAAGGTATTTACTTAAAAATGAAACATTGTAGTAGACTAACTTAAATATTTTTATTTTTGATTAGTTAATGAATGCGATTGAAAAGGTGGCCGAAAAACGTGTCGGATTTTATTGTTTCGAGGTATTTATTATAAATAATTTTCGCGGAATTGAGGTATGCTAAATAAAGTATTTATTTGTATTATTATTGTTATTAATTATTTTTTGGGATTAGGTCGCAATGATGATCATGGTGGGATTTCTAAAAGTGTATGAAATATCTCATAAATATCAGTAAATTCATTTATTAAAAATACAAGATTTATATTAATTAAAATAATTAAATTTGAATTTTTGTGAACAATAATTTTGAAATATAATATTCTATAAATACATATTGATGTACTTATTGATCCTATATATTTGTACTTAATTTAATATTTCTATTGTTTACTAGCATGCAATTTTTTGTATTTATTTCAAAAACAAATTGCCTCATGTTAATAAAAATAAGAAATACTTTAAAACAGCATACGTTTAATATCTACTTATCATGTATTTTGAACAATAGTAATTTTTATAATTTCAAGTGCAAATGTATTTTTGAACATGGATAACCTCGAATTAAATTACTTTTAAATTTCACATATCATTTGAAATATTATCGATAATTGTCACAGTGTCACAGTGTCATAATGAGTTTAGTTAACTATAATTTTAAACCAACACAATTAATACCACCTGAATTATCAATACCGGGTGCACACATTCATCTCTACCGTATCGGTTTTTCATTATTTAAACCTCTGTCCCCTGTGAAACGACGTTGGTACAATCACCCAGCTATTTCATTTGCTTATTTAATACATATGTTATTTCGGTGCCTATTATTTATTTTACATCCAGCTCATAATAAATCTAATGAATATCACTTGTATTGGGGCAATATTGACCGCTTTATGAGCACCGGTATCTTAGTGAACACAGTATGTGGCACGGCGTGTGTATTGTGCATTGTGACCCAGTTACTTAATTATTATAATTACTGGAATGATAGGGAACCTACTGATTTACGTGTTTTTGAAATGGTGGCCGGTTTACGACCACCCTGTAGTATTGGTATATACGATAAGTATTTAGTATTAAAATTGTGTTCAATTATTGGTAAAACTTTACGACTCTCCCAATACGTAATCCCATGTTTTATGGTAATTTGCTTTTGTATAGTGTAAGCATATGTAAGGCTATTAGCATTATATAATGTTAACCAGACTATTTTTGGCACACAAACTATAATAATATTTCATAAACGCGGCCTGAGCAATATTTTATTCAATAATTAATATTTTAGACATTTTAGTGATTGTATAAGGATAGCTATTTTAAACATAATGGCAATTTGTTATATTTAGTTGTGTGCCAGATTATGTCATAAAAGTGATAGTGCTTATTTAAAATAGTGCCAAATTAAAGGGACCCGGATAATATTTTATTCTATGATTAATATTGAACATATTAGTGATTGCATGTACGATAAGTATTTTAAGTATAAAAGTAATTAATCAAACTTATTTATGTGCTAACTTATGTCATAAAATTGTTAGTGTTTATTCAAAATAGTGTTATGATAAAGGGACCGGAATCATTAATTTATCTATGATTTATATAATATTTTAAATCATACTGTCTTATAATATACTATTTTGATATTTTATTCTAACATGAAGCAATTAATTATTATGCACCCTCACAACCAANAGGTGCATGAGGTTCATGGTGCTCATTTTCCATATTACGGCGAGGAAATACATGCTGGATATAATGCTGGAGAAATGTTACTATGCAAAGAGTTAAATTATAATTTGGGCTAATTTAATTTTAAGTTCACAGTTTACATTTAAATTAGGTTAACTTTTTAAAATTGGTATTAATTATGCGTAATTTCGAAAACTTTCAGAAAACCAACCATGATCATCATAGCAACCTAGTCACAAAAATTAATAGTTAAAGATGATATATAATTTATTATGAATACCTCAATTCCTCGAAATTTATTTATTATAAATAACTCGAAACAATAAAATCCGACACGTTTTTTAACCACCCTTTCAATTGCATTCAATAACTAATTTTTTAAAAATAAAATTATTTAAGCAAGCATATTATAATATTTACATGATAAATAAATACCTTAATTTTAATAACTGTGCCAATATTTCTATATTTTAAATGAGTTAACGAGTTTAATAATACATGAGAGTTATTAGCTTCAACATAAATAGACCCTGATATATGGATAATAAATACTAATATGGTGGTAATAAGATTTGATTTATTTTCGTTGTACTAGGCCTTTTAATTAACACAAAATGACTTGCGTTTATTTATACTTAATTTACAATGCTATTCTGAGTTACTTTAGGTTTATCATGGGTCTATTAAAGAATAATAATTTCTATTATATTCAATAATTTCAACATAAATACAATTAAATTCCGTAAGAATTCTACGAATTTCCAGAATATTCTTATTATTCCGTAAAATATCTATAATAATAAGATTTTGTAGTTTTAATTTACTTTTTAAATAATAAGTAATTATGTAGTAATATAATGTCTGATACGATAATATATTTATTAGGTACATCACCCAAATTGCCCAGATCATAGCATTAGGTGTACCATAAATAAATAGGTCATAATTGGATACTTTTGTTGAGTAACTAAGAAATACTATTGTGAGCTCCTGTGGCTATCCGACTGATACCCAGCTCACGGTTATCATAAATCAGTTAGTTCAATTAATTTTAAATAGTTGTCCGCGTTTACCAAGATTATTATTAATAAATTAACTACAAATTATTGTAAAAAGGCACTTTATTTTATAAACTCATTTTAATATACAGTTTACAGTTGATGTTAAAGTGTGAGCACTGCTCATAGGATTGTTTTATAATATAACTTAACATGCTCTTATATAGTAGTTGGTTGTGAGGGTGCATAATAATTAATTGCTTCATGTTAGAATAAAATATCAAAATAGTATATTATAAGACAGTATGATTTAAAATATTATATAAATCATAGATAAATTAATGATTCCGGTCCCTTTATCATAACACTATTTTGAATAAACATTAGCACTCTGTGACATAAGTTGGTACATAAATAAGTTTGACTAATTGCATTTATACTTAAAATACTTATGTTGTAT